TCACGTGTAAAAATTATTTGTCTGTTTACATTATATAAACTCGACCTAAAAACGCGTGCCAATAGAGTGTATTGCAAGTAAATAAAAACGGAGGAAGTATTACTTATAGTTATAAGGATGTACTCCCTCTGTTTTTAAATACTTCATATGTTGTTACTAATAGTCAGATCAGGTGTACGTACAACCAAATTTTAGACCCAATAAACGTATACAGGACCACTTGACTATACCATAAACAATCACGACGTACGTACGTACTACTTGACTTAATTTTTTTTCTCCAATTTAATGGGTTCCTGCTCCGACAATCAAGAACAGCTAAATATTGGGGGTTAAAAAAAAAAATGAGAACTTCAATAGAAGATATTAGTAGATCAAAAATGGCGGTGGCATGTAAATTAGGCTAAGTACGTACAAAATTAAATGAAGTGAGTATGATTTACTAAACTAATTAAAATTAAAAAGTACGTACAAACTTAGTTGTTGTATTTATTAGACATAGAGAATGAGTTGAAGTTTGGACAACTAACGTAAAAAACACAAAACAAAGAAGTGCAGCTTTTCAGAATTAAAGAGTGGAACACCATGTTATCTGTTCGTGCATTTCATTTAATTTATAAAATCTACTAATTTATTTAAGATAATTAAATCCTCATTTTGTTCCGTACTCTTTTGTGTTTCTGATTTTCTCAAAGATTTTCTTTTTATTTCCCGATGTGCATTGTATTTGTTATGCTTTCATTAGCTAGCTAGATGAAGGAGATTTTATCTCATGTAAGGAGGGATGGGAATACTGTATCTCATCTCGTTATTAGGTGGGAACACAAAAGTAATTCCAAATTAGTTTGTGTAAATTCTCTTTTCCAATTGTGTTTGGAACATGATTTACAATAACATTTTCAATTTTTTTGTTCAAAAAACTTGTAGGAAGTTGCTTTTTAAAAAATATATATATATATATAATAAATAAATAAATAAATTTGTTTTTGGAATAATATTTAATTTTTGTCTAATATCTTATTTTCCGAATAGACTAATTAAGAGGCTTCAAATATCTTCCACCTTGTGCCATTTTAATTAATTTTTAAATTATTAATAAGCTTCATTTTGTTAGAAGAAAAAAAAAAATATACGTAAGAATTAAGAAAATTTGAGAAAATAATACAAAAAAAACATGTTATTCGTCAATAACATGTAGAAAAAGCACACAAAAATAATAGAGAGACGGATCTAATATAATTCTTTAATGTGTACTCTGTATTACATATCATACGAAAATAAACATGCAATACTTCATTAGGTAACACATTACACGTAATCAAGAAAGAGTATACTTAGTTATTTACACAAGTATAATAAGGGAAGTAATAAGATAGATTTTACCATAAAGAGTATAATAAATTAAAATTTGGCCATAATGTCTTGTTCCTTGGCAACAATATTTGTCCGGGTGCCCTTGTTTGCTGCCTGACATTCATGCCCTAAAAAAGTGTAGTAATTTGCATCGATTGCTTAATAATGTTACGGAGTATATTAATAATTTCTTAATTATATTCATTCTTGTAATCATATAGCTAGCTTTGTGTACGCACATACACCAATTTATCATAATGTAGCTTGGTTATCGAGTTTTTCATGCATTGATATCATATTGTCTCACCTAACGAAAATGAATGAGTGCATAGTATTGGATATTATATGATTGTCTTAAATATCTCATGCACTATGAATTATAAACTTTTAATCTTGCTATGAGTATACGACATAAATTATTAGATTGGATTAAATTTCGAGTTCATATTATCGGGATCAAATCAATAATTTTGAATTTAAACATTCTGATATATAATGTGATTTATCATTTAGAAATCGATAAAGTTATAATTATACAAAGTTTAATTGCCATTGGGATTACATTTATAAATTATTGAATCATTTCATCATTTCATTTGTAATATATTGCAAGTAGTCTGTCTTAATAAACTAAATCACTTGTAGAAAATTATAAATGCAACCAACTAACCAATTAAAATCTAGAATGCATGTGAAAAAATATACTTCCTGAAACTTTGGTTAATAATAATAATAAATTAACCAATGAAAATATTAATGAAAACTCACGTAACAATATAACATTTGTCGAACGATAATTAGAGTATAATTAGGATAAAATATCTATATGAAAGTTGTCATAATTCTATTGAATTTCTAATAATATATATTATGAATTGACAAGTGTCTGGCTTAACTGCATGTTGGGAGACATACCTTGTCAGTTATACGTTGTGATGATGAGAAAGAGGCGTTTACTAACACTAGAAGCTCTTCTCCTACCAGAAATGGAAGTCTCTATTATCAAACAAATTAAAAGAATTTTAAATGATTAAAATAAAATAAATCTACAAGAATAAAATATTGGCCATTAAACAAACAAACGTTTTATGCTTGATTATGTTAATTATTGCAGTAATTTGTATCTTATAACTTGTAATTTGATAAAGGTTTTGCTTGCATAGTTTAAAGTCTTGTGTTTTTTCTAATAATGAATATAATTAAGGATGTTGATTTGATTGATGAACTGTTGTGGTCTCTAAGGTCAGTTGAATATTCTCTCTTTTCATCTCCTTGTTTCATATACTATTACTGTTTAAATGATTTTACTTGTATTTGGAATTCTAAATTTTGATTAGTTCTCACTTCAATATATGAGTCGCTCAGAAAAGTTGATTTTTTTTGCTCGAAATATTTGGATGTATTTTTTAGTACTATTTTTTGGTTGTTTGGTAAAAATTTTTTTTTACATATTCGATTATCGATTGTGACTCACCAGTCGGAAATTCCTGGGTCCGCCACTGGTTGTGTAGTTTGTCTATCACAAAGAATACTCCCTTTGTCTCATATTACATATGCGGTTTGACTTTTGGTTGTCTAATTTTTTTATTTTTTTTTTTGAAGGGATGGTCGTCTAATCCCATCATTTTAAATTTTTCACAATTTTGATACAATATTAGATATTAAAAATTTATAACGAAAACATATGTTAAAGATACGGAGTAATATAATTGCATCACATCTCTTGTAGATAATTTTAGACGAAAATACCTAGACATTTAATTAAATAAGTATGTTCGGTTATTAAAGTCAAATGTGACCTTTCTGTTTAGGGTACGAATGAAGGTAAATCACTGGTACCATAGATCAAATAATGTATGGCAAAATCAAGCTAGTAAGAAAATTAACCAAGAATCCGTTAAATTAGGAAAACACATACTTACAAAGTACAAGTTTAGAACTAGTACTTATCTTCCAAATAGACAGTAAGAACTTAAATTGTTAAGAACTTATAACTGTCATTCAGCATTACTCATCACTCAAATTGAACATTTTCTCACAGACTCTGGATACTGCAACTCCTATATCAAAACAATTTTCCAAAGTATTCACGCTAGTTGGTGCAGGAGTTACTGGACTAGTCAGTTTTGCTACTGTGGCCTCAGCTGACGAAGCTGAAGAAGGCCTGCATTCTGCAAGCTATCCATGGCCTCACCAAGGCATCCTCAGTTCCTATGACCACGCCTCATAAGTACAATTACTAGACTACTAATTGATCATCATGTCACACCAACCTATTCATATTAAAAGTTGTAATTTGGGGCAATGGTTGTTTTACTGAACAGGATTCGTCGAGGACATCAGGTGTATCAGCAAGTATGTGCATCCTGTCATTCAATGTCACTGATTTCCTACCGCGATTTAGTAGGTGTAGCCTACACAGAGGACGAGGTCAAGGAAATGGCAGCTGAGGTTGAGGTTGTTGATGGGCCTAACGACGAGGGAGAAATGTTTACTCGTCCTGGTAGATTAAGTGATCGCTTTCCTCAACCTTATGCTAACGAGCAGGCTGCTTGGTATGCTAATGGAGGGGCTTATCCTCCTGATCTTAGTCTCATTACCAAGGTTCATACTTCAATATAATAATCTGAATTCATTAATAATAAGTTCAAATAAAGGCGAATAACTTCATTTTATTAGGAAAAATTAGCTTGATCAGACAGTATATATGAACTTCCACTGTAAAATTATCAGATTTTTTATATTACAAGGAAATTTTCCTCTGAAATAATCTGAATTTTCATACAAGGCTTACTTATCGTTTGTGCATTATTTTCAGGCTCGGCATAATGGCCAAAACTATGTTTTCTCACTTCTAACTGGCTACCGCGATCCTCCTGCTGGTGTTTCGGTAACATTCAACAGTCTAAACTGTTTTTCATGCTGTTCTGTCATATAAGTACAATTGAGTCTATGTATTTGGGCTTATAAATTTTTTATCATAGGTTCGGGAGGGGCTGCACTACAATCCCCAGTTTCTCATATTGAGAAATGAAATTTGTTTTTCATGAGGGCATTTTTGTGAATAAATCAACAACTATTACATTATAATGGGCTCTACAATTGAATAAAGTTGTTGGTTTATTTACAAAAATGTCATGTGAGAAACTGGGGCATCCTCCAGATAAAACATCTTTATACCTGTACTAGTCTGGTTGAATATTTAGGCACTGGAAACTTATTTGTTGTCGAATATTGTCACAGATGGCGAAAGATGTTGTAACGTATTTGACATGGGCTGCTGAGCCAGAGATGGAAGAGCGAAAACTAGTAAGTCAGGGCTACATTTTTTTTTCTTCTTTGAAGCTAAGTACAAATGTACAATGATGAATGATGCTGATGAAATGGTTTCTAAAATGGTTGCATAATTGGTTGTTTCAGATGGGATTTAAGTGGATTTTCGTGCTTTCGCTTGCTCTACTTCAAGCTGCTTACTATAGACGACTAAAATGGTCTGTGTACAAGTCTCGAAAGCTAGTCCTGGATGTTGTCAATTGATCTCCTCTGTTCTATACCCTGCTTGATGCTCATAATTCATACTGTTAGAATAAAATGACACAAAATATATGTTAAAAAAAGAAAAACTATATTGTGAGTTGGTATTTGAGCCTTATTAAGAACAAATGAATAATTTTATTATAACAATAAATTTTAAAAAAATTGTAAAAATAGATACATTGATCCTGAAACATACACTTCATGAACTCTTAAACCAAATTAACATCTAGAAACCTTGAAAAACCTCCTAGATGGGGTTGATGATAGGCATATAAAAAGTACTACTAAGTACTAGTATCGCGTAATAAGTTATAAACCAATTATTTAACCATTCTATTACACATGATTGGGAGAGTTACGGTATGAATGAGCATGAAGAACCTTAACATCGTCGAGAACAGGACCACACATAGAACCATCAATGGTCATAGTGTAGAATGTGCTCAAGAACCTAATGACCGTTTTATCCTTGTTGGCCTTAAACACAAGTTTACCTCTTGTAAATCCACCAGTACCCTTAGAGTTATATGTGACCCTAGTGGTTGCCCTTTCAGCGAATGCCTCAATAGCCAAAGGACCAACACACCCATTTTTGCCATCACCAACCATGAAAGTAAGGGCGTATGACCTGCCCGGTTGGGTCCTAATGGTTTGAGCAATGGCACTTTCTTTTCCTCCAACGAGCTCAACGGCTCTTTGGCCTTCTGGCACGAAAAAATGAAGGGAATCAATGTACTTGACGGCCTTAGAGGACTCGATCCTCCAGGCTGGTAGCGGAGAGTGACTGTCCTCGATGTTAGGAGGGATTAGGACACCCCATGATGAGCTATGGAACACATATGGCCCTTGTCCAAAGTCTCCATTCTTCACCAAGTTTCCTACAATAGATCAATGATTATTAGTCATTTTGTCATAGTAAGGCAAAAATGTGGAAGTTTCCCTTCCACATGGAAAATTTAGGATGCTTGGTCACTTTTTTGTTTAAGCATGTGCTTACACAATAACAATCAAATCTTCTCACATGACATCAAATCACATGTATTTTTAGCTAGCCAACTTTTACATCATTAAACAGTAGTGGAATTGCGGCAGTTATAAAAAAAAATTAATTTTAGTTCAGTAAAAATCAGGTGATAAAAATAGTACCTCCGGTAGGCTTGACTGAATCCAAAATAGTAAGAGCAATGATATCAAGAAGAGGTCCACAAGCAGGGTCTTCACCAGGCTGGCCAGGGTTGTGGAGGGTGACCTCGACGGCATTGGCCTCAGCACGGAACCCCCAAGCATAGGAGTCAAACCCAACACTAGAGTACACGGTTTGTAGGGGCAAGATCCCGGAATGTCCCTTAGAGCTAGGGGTGATCGTACCGTTGAGTACTTCCTCTTGTGAGCAAGTCCTTCCAAAGCTGAAGGTAAGGGCATAAAATTTGCCTGCTTGAGTAGCCACCTTTTGCTTAATAGAAGCATTGGACCCTAGCCTTACGGCGTGTTTGCCCTCTGGTACGATTAAGACCATGTCTTGTTGCTTGGTTCCTGATGTTATGTACTCAACAAACCCTGTTACCTCCCATTTTGGGATTGCATACTTGCCCTCTATTTTTGTTCCGCTAATTTGAGTTGGGTTCGGCCTTGTCTCAAAGTCGCCATTTGGGAGCAACGCTGATCAAAATAATATGAGTAACGTTTATTATTTTTACACTAATAAGTTTATAAAGTATATGAACGATGGACTAGTTGTTAACACTTTAAAAAAAAAGTCACAAATAACAAATAATGTAGACATTTAGACGGGTTATCTAAATCTCAACACATCAAGGATAGTTGAAATCCAATTCAATAGGCATTTATTAAGCGTACGTAAATATCATCTACTTAATGAAATGAAATTGAATCACATAAGTTATAAGTTAACGGACCACTGACAACCATGACCCAGTTAATTATGAGTTTATGACCCATAATTTAGTATCTATCTATATTTTTTGATTCAATTAAAGTGTATTACAGTCATTGGACAAAGTATATTAGTAGTAAATCTAAAAATCGTAGCAAAAGTAGTATTAAATGTAAGTGAGCATGTGATTAAAGAGATTATTCGTCCACTCAAATCTAAATTGTCTGACATCCCACATAATAATAACATGGCTTGCATATATAAAACATCCTAACTAATAAGAAGGTACCATGCTCCAACTGTAAGCTAATCAATCATATTTGTTGGGTTGGATCCTAAATAATTTGGTTGTTAGCTTAGGGTGCATGGTTGTGGTACTACTTGAAACTTGAGATCGAATCATATCCACTCTTATGCTTTATTATATTATTATATGTTATTTTTTAAAGTTTTTACTACTCGTATAATGGCTTGTGTAATACGAAGTATATGATTTGTGTATCTATATAATGAGAAAATGAAAATAGTTTTAACATTCGAAAACTACTATATGATGTTAAAATTAGTCTATACTTCATACTACTTATAAACCAAATAAAATTTTCGGCTGAATGGTTGTTTAGATTTCCCTCCTAAAAATAAAATTACTTCGTACTATATTAGGTATCTATCCTCCATGTGCTTGGTTTCCCTTCTCTCAACCAACCCTCAATCACTCATTAGAGTTCATATTAAATATCAATAAAACGAGTCCCTTTCACACTAATTTATTGTAAAGCGATGTGTATAAAACTATTCCAAGATAATAAAATATCTCTTGCACACATTAGGTTAATTAAAATTCACTTAAGAGTATGCAAGAAAACGTGTAGTACAGTGTTACTATCTACTATATCACTGAACAGTAATATTAAACTCTCTAGTTAGATCTATCCACCCATAAAGCTTGATAATCGAGATCTAATTAGTAATTAGATTCATAATACTCCCCATTTGTCTTTAAAAAAAAAAATAACAATAATACTCCCCATTTAGTAGTGTAATTAATTAAAAAATGTTTCAAAATAGGGTGTAGTATTACAACCACATTTACCAACCTAATCTTTCTCGAAAGTAGAGAGAAAATGATGACTAATCTTTTTTGCAAATAAAAATGATAATTAATCTTAACTTCATCGGGAACTTCCTATGATGAACATGTAGTAGTAGTTGCATATTTCTCGGCCTAAATTTCTAAACTAATGTTATTACATTGTAGTAGTTACCTAGAGTCCAAGCTTCTAGATGATATGGACAAAGGTTTTGCCACAATGATCGATTTCTTAGAATATATATATATATATATATATATATATATATATATATATATATATATATATATATATATATATATATAAACTAGCAACGGCTATCATAACAACAATCGATATTTTATTCTTAAATATGAAATCGACTATCTACATGAACCAAGATTTTATCTCCTAATTTTAACTTAAAACTACAATTAAATGCGACATACCAAGTTCTAGACTCTGTACGGTGTCACACAAATTTATACTTGTACATTGAAAAGAATACGTTATACTAATGTTGTTTTGTAACATAATACAAGGGCTAAGATCATCATCTAACTAATTATTAACTATGATAGACTATTATATCATCCCTATCAATTTAGCATTGATGATGAATTGAAATGAAATAAAAACTTAGGAATATGAATATATAAACATACCTCCAAATGTAACACAAAAGCTAGAGGCTAAAAGTAGCACCACGATAAGCCCATTGAGCTTCGACATTGTATGTTAGAGAGAGAAAGAGATGACGTGAAGGAAGAGAGAGAAAGTTGATTTGAGAGTGTGAAAAATTAAGAGGGGGTGGCATGGAGTTTATATGTGTTTTGAGTTATAAAAAAGGACTTAATATTATTGGAATATTACATAAATGCCATTGGTTTGGACTGACAATAATCAACTGAGACCAGTAATAATTAAGTGGTAGTTTTTCATTAAAAAAATGGCTAATTAATAATTAAGTGTTAGTAGTACTAGTTAACTGTTAAGTTAATCAGAATTGATGATGACAGTTACTGGTGTTAGTTGAAAGTTAGGCAAAAACACCTCACCATTTTTCCTTAATTACATGAAACCGGGTAATTTATAGAACATGCTCAGTTCATGGTCTAAAACAGCTCTAGTAAACATTTATCTTTATGAATATATTGTACAGTTTTATGTTTGGGAGTTCAAGTTTATTTATTTCTATTATTGATGAAATTTGAAGTGATTATAGTCCCGAGTTTTGGAGAGACTTTTAACGGTTATGATATATGTAGTCCTAATTAAGATCAAATAATCAATATAGAGTTCTTGACTTTTGCTAAATGATTTCATATATAATGTTATTGTCCTTTAAATAAGAATGTTTTAGTTTTAAAATACAACACTTTAATTTGCATGCTCTTTGTATCAGTGTGAAATAGCTTAAGTTTGTATGATATATTAAGTCATTTTTAATGTACATGAACAATTCAAGATGTGTTATACTTTTCAAATAATTGTTTTTGTAAACAAGGGAGACTATACAAAAACAGTGCAATTGTTGTATATCTTCTATTGCACCATGAACTAAGGGTCTGTTCACATTTACTGAACTGAGCTGAACTGAACTGAACTGAACTGATTGGAGCTGAACTAAACTGAACTGAACTGATTGGAGCTTAACTGAACTGAATTGAGCTGAAATGAATATTTTATGAGAGAGGCAAATTAGAAGCTGAACTGAACTGATTGAAGCTGAACTGAACTGAACTGAACTGAACTGAAATTAAGTAAATATGAACAGGCCTAAATGTAAATTCAATGAGTAAATTACATATTCTATTTAGTTTAAATATTTACCTTTTCAAATTCTCCACATATTACATCCTGTAGAAAAGATTACTTTGTTGACGTGGTGTAACCATAAAATAACTTTTGCGGTTGTAAAAACTGTGGTGATATACTCTAGATGTCATAACATTATGAGGTCGGTAGTGAATATAATTGGATATAGCCTATGTAGGAAACCAACCTCCTCGGTTATATATATACATCATATACGGAGTATATCATAGCTTAGATAGCAAACAAAGATATTATATACAATGTTGAATTAAATGTTTAGACAGAAGATAAGTCTAATTTGAGCTCAATTTCTTTATAAAAAACGTTGCTTAAATTGTATTACTTCTTAAGTGGAATGACTAGAAGAAGAAGGGGGAATTTCAAGGTAAATAATTCATGGAATCCTGCATAATAGAGGCGTAAAACCAGGGTTTTCTCCGGTGAAAATTTAATTAATGGACAACGCCATTAAAACTCAATCACATGCATTATGACTAGGTTATTATCCTTATCTTCTGCTCTTCTAAGCATATCTGTCTTCTATAAGTTTGACCATTGTCATTAATTTTCTAATTACATATTGACAATCTTTTAACATTAACTATTTGTGGTCCAAAATGCCACATGTTTATTGACTTTGGTACACTTTTGGCGATTGTATGTGTAAGTGTGTAGCTAATGTAAGAATAGGACTAGGGTCTGTTCTCATAGACTGAACTGAAATGAACTAAATATTTACTTCTTCTGTTCTTTTTTACTTGACCTGTTTCTTTTATCACGTTTGCCAACGCAAAACTTCAACGATTAATAACTTTAATTCTCCATAAGTAAAAATTATAAAAGTTATATATTATGATAGTACTTCTTGAGACGAATTCAAATATCCAACATGAACATATTTTTCCTTATAAATTATTCACAAAAGACGGTCAAAGAAGGAGTGGTGAATAGTGTAAAAGTCAAAGCAGGTCAAGTAAAAAAGAACGGAGAAAGTATAAGAAAAGGAAATTAGGAGTTGAACTGAATTGAACCGAGCTGAGTTGAGGTGAAGTGAAAATAAACGTATGAGAACAAACCCTAAGTTAGTTGTACGGAAATCACATCATGTCAAAGTGATGAAACTAAATATTTTGTATGTATATAGCATTATAATAAAAGATTTTGTAATTAACCATATATCAATAACTAATATAGCGTTATAGGAAGGATTACTTGGAGTAAATTCTAAGCAAAGTATGACTGCATCATTGGTAAACTTTCTTTATTACCTTTTTTGGATTTGTCATTGCTAATCAAATTAAAATAATTGAAGGAGAAAATAAAAGCCAATGAGATGTCAAAATAGCCACAAAATATGCAATATAATTGATGAATCACCGAAAAAGATATAATCCATAAGTCACTATTTCACGTGCATGAGGCACATGGAAGTTTAGATTTGCAGAAGTATTTGGATTTTTTTGTGAACCCTCTAAGAAATTGCAATAGATTCAACCTAAAAATTATTAAATTAAATATTACTTAGGAATCAATCAATCTCACAAATGATTTTATTAATTAATTCAGAAAAAATCAAATTGGGGTCAACATATATCAGATACGAACGAAACATAAACCAGGTATTATCTAATATTCAACTTTGAGACATTATATTATAAATTATAATTAATATTAATACAAAGATCAATTAATCAATTAGAGACCTTAATCTCTTAAGCATTCCATGTGCATTGGAGTGTTAGATCATGGTTTTTATGTATATGTGTATACATGAAGTTATTATTGAGTTTTAATTAATTTTTTTGGTGTAAAAATGATTGAGATTTCTTTTTAATTGTATTTTTTTTTTATATGTCTTTAAATTTATTCTCCATATTGTTTTTCTGCCTTCTGGTCGGCAATAATGTATTAATGGGTGGTTTATTTATAATTTGTGCCATACGTAGGTACATGCATTGTTATGTTCTAGCTAGAGGTGATTGAGTTGTGAAGAAAGTATTTTCTCGGCTTGAAGTTTGGACTACGATTATGCATTTGACACCTACTAGTTAAGTACATTTTCCCTGATTTTGATAAAAATTGTGACATTTAATTTGTTATTAAAATCAATATACCACGTATATTTTCTAGTGGAAAATTTAGTGTGACAGTATGAGTTTAGTGGGCTTAAGTGAACATGTGCTTGTACTATATTTTGTATAGTAAATAAATAAATATATAAAATAGACAACAAAGGATTTCTGAATGGATATCAAAAAAAAAAAAAAAAAAACAAAGGATTTCTGAATCCGTCATAGTTTTTCAAAGTATTCTCTTCACTAAACTACTTAAAACTTAGGAGTAGTGATGGCTGATGAGTAATATGCAACAAAAGAAATTATACTATTATAGCATATCGTTATAAATAAGAACACAGTTGTGACAATTAATTTCAAATATGGGACTGTTATAATATAAATATACAAAGAAAAAACCATTTTCTTTAGCAACTCTTATACAAAGTATTAAAGAATAGATCGAGGGAGCCCCATTGATCTTGTTGATTAACAATTTATGTTTATTAAATGATAAAACCCGATTTCATTAATGAGCAGTAAAAAATTTGAGTACTTATTTACAATATTATCAGTACTAGATGAATTGTTGTTTATTTTGAATATCAACTTGTATTTTCCGATCCCTAATACATATATAGAATAGAAATCACAGCTATACTCTTTTAATTAATTTTTTCCCTCCAAATACAAGGATGATGTCATATATTTTTTTTATCCCTTTTAAGCTACCCTATTTATCATAGCTTTGAAAATATATTCTATTTGAATTTTAAAATTTTAAAATTTGGGTTTTCTACACATATTATGCTATTTAGTTATTTATGAGTTGTTAACGATTGTTAATAATATAATTTAATTGAAATATGAAAATTATGCACGTTTGAGAATTGTATATTCATATTTAATTATAAAAATTAGTTAGGAAAAATGAAGAAGTTATGTTCTTTCAATACGTGTTAAAAGTCTATAATTCAATTCATATTTTAAAACCGTGCATCGCACAGGATTAATCTAGTTACGTAGTAATAAAACTCTTTAAATTAAAATGTCTTATGTACCAATTACTTTATTTATATGTCTTAGCACCTGGCAAATCAGCGTTAAAATGGGAGTTTTTAAATTTTCTCATCACTCAATAATTATTGCAATTGTAATAATTTGAAAATAACCAAAGATATTTAAATCAATTATTACATGCTAAAAAACCTTCTGTTGTAAGACTATTCTTTCTTGATACGTACCCAACTAGCTATTGACCAATAATGAAAATTATTATTCATATAATAATGTACTTTATAAATGGAAAATTAAGAAGCAATTTGTATTATTAAGTGGCAATAATGGTGAAACTACATGTCTATATGATTTTCTAACCGTGATCATCAAAATAAAGAAAACAATATGGTCAAGAGAATAATATGGATCTAAACGGATAGTTTTGTTATGAATACAACAATTTTTTTTAGTCACGGTTAAATTTTAATCAATCATTGATTTTTAAGCATTGATACAAACATTCAATACTACTATGATTAGTCTCCAACATCAAAGGGGAAAATAGATTAATAATAACCATATTTATTTTATACTCCGTAATCATTTTTTTAAAAATCAATATATTTTGTAATGATTGGAAATCCTTCCATAGTTTTATTTGCAATTGAGCAAGCCTTAAAGAACACATAATTCGCATACTGTGACAAATAAAAACGTACACGTTTCTGAGAAGGCCTAAAAGCTTGTAACATAAATGAGGCATCAGAAGACACACAATTAGCTAATATACAATTGTTTAACAAAAATGATGAAATGATGTGACAAAACGAGTTAAATCTTAAATGTAGTTCAAGATAGTACGACTACAACTAATATTGATATGACCATATGTAACTATCTACATCCATACTGTCTACAACAAGTCAACAATGCAAATCATTCATTG